TCAACTTTCGTGAAGAAACAATTTCGATCTGATCTACTGAAAAAGGAGTTTCGGTACTCATAAGATGGTTGTCTAGTTTTCTGCGGAATTAGAAACTGGGTTGGTGTTTTAGACATCTGCGACGATGGCACTTCCGAGGTCAGCAAGTTGGAGTTCAAAGGCAGTTTATATGGCTGTCAGATTTTCTGCCAATAATAATGATAATAGTTATATAACCAAATGTATATTTACTTTAAGAAAATTAGTCATACATAGATATAAAGATGAAATGAAAATATTTTCTTATCTGTGAGATTCCAACTAACAGAGATGAGAGGTAGGTAGTGCTTCACCGAATTTATGGCGTGTGCTTTCCATTGACACGAGAGCTTCTCGTGCTGATAATATTTTGTAAAATCGACGATATGTGTACAGTAGAATAAAGTAAATAAAACACAATGTTTACGAGGTTTGGCAAGTGTGTCTACATCCTCGGAACAACAGTAGTACTTTCTTTTATTATCTAAAATAATTGAAGTACAAAATAACTCTCATTATTTTCTCCTCTCTAACCTGGCTACTGGTGATTTCTTCCGCATCTCTCTTATTTCCTCTTCTCTTCCTTTCCTCCATAACTCCTCTTTCTTTCCTTTGTATGTTATTCTCTCGTCTCTTTCTTCTTCTTCTCTCCTCTTCCTTCCTCCATATGTTCTCATCTTATAGGCAAAATATTACATTAGCAACACTATTCACTTTACAAATTTTCCTCAAATAAATAGTGAAATATTATGCATGAATAGTACTTCATTCGTTTTTCTTCATATGAATAATAACAACTCATCTGATTTTTCTTTGGGTGAATAGTAATAAATTTTTCATGTGGTCATCCACGTATTATAATATAACATATGAACTATATATACATATGCGGTTCCAGACAGAATACCGCCACTTCTTTACCAGCACGTGACATAAAGGCGCTGCTGTTCATGACTGGCAAGGTGGTGCGAAGTACACCAGTGCTTGTCCCTTCCCTGGCTCACAATGCTGAGATAAAAATGAAAACGAAATACTAATTCAAGCTCCATCCCAAGCACGGAACTAAGAAAAACAGAAGGGTTCTCGAACATCTGCTATATTTTTGGGTTCACATTGAATCAGAACCCCTAAACGTATTCATTATCGGTCTCGAAACCATTTACATGCTAGAAGTGGGGACAGAGAAACAAGAATGGGCGTATCATACATCCAGATAAACCGCAAATCGCTTTAGACCTTCAGTCGCTTCTTGAACCAACGTCACCCATCAATAAGATCTTTCACTGCCTCTTTGCTAATGTCTTCTTCAATCCCTTCAAAATCTTCCAAAACCACATCACATTCATGACCGCTAGCATTGGTGGCACTGCGAAAGCTAAGAGTCTCCCAATTATGTGCATTTGTTTAACCTGTTAAACAAGTTCATGCAGGCTTAATATATTTCTAGTTGCATATCGCATGTTAATTAAATAATCAATTTGAAACTTAAACTTCTAAGATGTAGTCATTGTAGGTCAGCAGACCAGCTGCTCCGCACCTGTTCATAGTGCAGGTAGAGATGGTAGAACAGATACATGAACAAGACTATTCTCGCCACCTGCACAGAGAAATGCGTAAGCATGTCTAAGATCAAAGGTACGAGGAAAGTCGAATCCAGAAAGATTTGTCAAAAAGTCTTCCCTTCGTAAACGCAATGCAGCAGATTAAATTAAAGAAAAGGAACACAATGGAAGTCATAGAAACATTACAGATATATCTAACTCACCAACCAAGCAATGAATATTACAACCCCATTAATCAAATATGTTCTGGACCTCTTCATTCCAGTCGTGTCAAGATACCTTCACAATCAAAACAATACTAAGCATCAACAGTAAGGAACGAAATCATAGATTTTGAAAATGGATTTCCAGTAAGAAATGCATACCATCTCAAGTTGATACCGGGGGTAGTTGTCTCAGAGATAAGAACCATGTAGTTATAAAGCTGTCCCTCGCCAGTCAACATAGCATATGCTACCGATGTTATAGAAAGAAGATGATGAACCACCTGAAAGATTAATATGATCACCATAAAATTGACAAGGTCATTCACTTCGTAAAATTAGGTTCTGCTTGTCCAACACCGGTAACAGAATTCATCCCGATGACGAACAATTCAAACCAGAATGCACTTACATATTCCATTCCACCTAGAGCAGGGTAAAACCAAAAGATCATCGCAAGGTCAGTAAGAAAGTACCCAACTGAAACCTGCCACAATGACACCACCAAAAGGCAGCATAGCGTCTGTTAGAATTACGTATTATTTGCATGACTGGCTTCTCTAATGCCTAAATTTCTAATCATACGATTGAGGTTAAACTTATTGGTATGACTTCAAAATTAGAATGCACTTACACATCAATTTGCCAGTGATATCAATTTAGTTGATTATTACTTGAAATTTCAAACATGCAAGAAAACCCCAAATCGAAACTAACAGCAAATCCAAGTCTGAACATGAAATATCGAAAAGCAGTAGCATATTCGAAGCTTAAACATGCAAATGTCCAAAACTTACCCCCAATGCAAATGTAGACAGTGGGGAACTCTGCAGCGTAACGAAAGCTTTAAGCTCCTGATCAGAATAAAGATCTGACCAAAATACCAAGTACAATGACATAGCAGTGATAAAAAGGGCATGAATAGTTGATATAGCCCTGCAGAATCAGCATAACAAAACACAACACACATGGGTTATGAGTGAATGAACAAAAACCGAAAAATAATCAGCAAGAATTTAGATTAGGCTGAAAAAAAATCACCGATTATTCCACTCAATGCGTTGCATCTTTGAAAGGTTGGAATAGCTCTTAAAGTAAGCAGCACTAAGCAAGTGGTTAAGATCATAAACCTGAAAAAATAACAACAAAAATTACCAAAAATTGAAGAAAAAGAGACTAAATTTACACATTACATGCTTCCATCGAAACAATTAGCAAAAGGGTTTAGCGAGAGAAGCAGGGCGTACCAATTTGCAAGCGAAAATACCCACAATCATCGACGTGTAGGGAACATAAGGGCTGGAGAGTGTGAAATTCTTCAGCAACATGTCGTACGATTGGATTGCCATTCAGAAGCACCAAAATCCCAGCAACCCAATTGCTCTAACGTTCCGAAAATCGACACCGAGGTCGAATTTCGAGCAGCAATCAGCAAAAGACGCCTCCTTTGGTGGAAAAAGTTGATGAAAAATTGGAAAGGGTAGGCAGAGGGGGTTGAGCAAAGAAGGAAAGAAGGACGATAGAAACGTGAGAAAGCAGTGGCGAGTTAAAAGAGACGACGAGGAGCGGGCGAGAGACCCAATCAGGCTTCGGGCCCAAGCAAGCTGATGAATCGCTGCGCAAGGCAACGCAACTTCTCATGTGAAACTTCCAGAACCAAAGAAACGAACAAATTTAAGTATTTAATGGGAAGTTTTCTTTTTTATATTAAAATTGAAGTATTGGAAAATTGATGGGCCCTTCATAACAATTGGACTTTCGTTTTTTTAAATCTAGAAATTTAGATAGGATTGTCTTATTATAGCAGTTTTCGGATCAAGGGTTGAATTAAATTACAGGGCGCCTTAAATGGGAGAGATTTTTCAATGTAATCGATATATGAGATGGTACATCACGTGTTACTAAACAAATGGTAGGATATGTATGCTAAAAAGTTAATAACTTAAAAAATAAAATTTCCCACAATTCCTATTAAGTAAAACGCGTGGTGTATCACTTGTGTTCCCGTCACAAATAAAAATTTCTCCTCAATGAATTGATAACGTAGTTGGGGTTCCATCATCCAAAATTTTCTTTTGAACGAAGATCAATTCTTGAATCCAGTAGGTCAACCACATCACTTGTCTCGTACATGAATTTTTATTTATTTATTTTTATTATTTAGCAATATTGTATGTTAATGTCTTAATCACTAAGACAGTCCATTGTCTCATGATTAAAGCATACTTTAAAAGACAAATATTAAGGTAACTCTCTTAAAAATAGGATTATCTCTAAACTTTCTGCCACCTCAATGATGTTAAAGAGTAATGCTAGGGAGACTAAATTTGCAAACTAAATGATATGTTATCAATAGAAAATGAGCATGTTATCAATATTTAAGTAATAATTCAATCATTAACTTCCACGTCATTTAGTTTACAAATTTTAGTCTATAAATTTAGTCTCTCTAACATTATTCGACGTTAAATTATAAGATGACAGAAAGTTTATAGAGAATTCTACTTTTGAGAGTGTCCCATTTTGAGAGACCCCCATTTTTGACGGACTCTCTCATCCCTTTAGCATTTCTTATTCTAAAACGACCTGGTTCCATATTAATGTTTGTGCACCTAGAGAGGGTAAGGCTCAATTTTGCTTCCATAATTGGTTTACATGATTAATTATTAGCTTCTTATTGATCTATGATCTAGGATGGGATTACTTAACACTTGTCCATAATATATAAATTGTCATTTCCTGTGTCACGGTAAATTGCTCACACACGCATGAGCAGTATCATAATGATACTCCACTTAAACCCTTTATTGGAATATCGCACATACGCGCGTGAGTATTCCTAAGTCTAGAAACAAGTCATGTTTTGTCATGTTCGTGTCGTTTTCATATTATATCAATTATCTTAATGAATCGTGTCAAACCTGTTATCTTGACAAATTCATATTAGGGTGATCCCATAATGATCCAACTTGTTAACAGGTCGTGTCTTTTCGTGTTGAGTTAATAGGTCATGCAAGAAATTACCATACCTAATGTCTAGATCTAATGAACGATATCTTGTCAGATTCTTAACATCTAACCCGATAACAATCCAACTCGTTAACAAGTTCTTAACAAGTGACCCAAAAACAACTCGAATCGTTAACGGATTAACCTGTTATTTTCGTGTCAATTTATGTCGGATTAACGGGTCGTACAAAGAATCAACAGGCCTAAGTATTCCTTGTAAAGAAAATTTGGAGTTACAATTTTATTTCGTGGAAAGGTTAACACTGAATTTCTTATAACCAATATACAAGCCAAATACCTTAAGCTATGAATTACAGATTCATATCTGTTTGATAAGGAGAGAGCCAGAAAAATAGTCTCCCAAATATACATGTGGAAGGAAAGATACACCTTAAAGTTTATGAAAATCTAACAGCTTACTACAAAAATATAATCAACACCTTCTCCTTACCTTGTGATTTACCCCGTCCTTCGGAGAAGATGACGACGACGACGATGCTGATAAGACCGACCGGTTATTTTCAGCCATGTCCTTGCAAAATGCCTTCTGTACATCGTCTTTAAGTTCCAAGAACCGCATCCTCTTGATTCTCTGCTCTTCCGGAGTTCCCTTGTCGAGGATGAAATCAGCCATGTCCATCTCATCGTCCAAAAACTTATCAAGGACTTCCGAGCAGTTGGGGAAGAAACGCCGCCCCATTTTCACTGCCATCACCATTTGATGTAACATTGTAACTTATTAATTGGCCCAAGATCATCACGAATGCTCTTTGCTAAACTAGCTTTAGACTTAATACAGTTTTCCAAAGACTCTTGATCCTTTTAGGAGTAACTTCAGCATGGTAGTAGGGAAGTTAGATGACAAACCATATCGAAAGCATTTTGTAATTTTCAAAGAGATTAGGCATGGAATAACGCTTGAAGTTTGAAATACATTATAACACTCGTCTAGGAAACATGTAATCACAGAAGGATTGGGATATATGTCGCGGAGGTAAAATGGTCATACCAGTTTTAATAAGGGCTTGCATTCTTATTTGTAGTCTTTTGGTTCGTCCAGAGGGTGTTTCATTCAAATCAACCTCTCGTAAGTTCCCACTTGATCCTCTTGATGCCGCAAGGCCAGTGTACACTGATGTGGAATGAGCATCAGCCATTTCCATAGCAAGCTTGGCCTCAGCAGGAAACAACAACCGCGCAAATGCCACTGCAAATTTATGAAAGCTCAAAGCTGTTAGTCATTTTTTTCAACGACAAGAGTCAAAAACTCACTGAGCGTATATGTCTTGATGGCATTAAAAATTAGGCAGCTTAATGTGCCAGTAATTTTCACTTTTTTTACTTAATAAAACTTTCACAATCCATGGTCTGAACTCAATAATGTAATCCAAGGGAGTGATTTAATCTAAAAATTAAGAATGGTCACCTCTATTTTCTAGATAGTCCAGCCTCACGTGCAAATCATCAGGTATCACCTCTGATATGATCGATACGTTCCCAGAGATTGAGTTTCTCCGCATCTCTCTCTCTAGAAGTTCGATGCATAATCGATCTTTGTTAGATTCCTGTCCCTGCTTTGTGTTCTCCAAAAAATCCTTTGGTCTAGTCAATCTCCGGCAAATTGCAACAGGAGTTTGACCATCTGAAGTAGTTTCTAAGGCAGAGGCTCCCCTGTCCAGAAGAGGAACTAGCACTGCTGGCAGCTTACGTCTGGCTGCCACATGAAGTACAGTATGCCCTCGGGAATTGCGAAGATTGAGGTTAGCCTCGCCTAGACTGAGAACCTCCTTAACAACCTTAGGATCACAGTATGCAACAGCATAGTGGAGAGCATAAGCATCATCTAACGTAATATCAGATTCCTTGAGAAGAAGTCCAACTAGTTCAACGTCATCAGAATCTAATGCCTTGTGGATTCTCCTGATTCTCTTATCCTCTATCAACTCAATTTCCATCATACTTGATTCATCATTTTCGTGAGATTTGAGACGGAGCGATTTGATATCATTAGAAACTTCATGCGGAAACTCTTTCCCTATGGCCATGTAGTCAAGATCGGACCTTGCTATCCTCTGGATGCAGTGTGAGAGCAGCTGGCTCAGTTGGCAGTGGAAGGCAGCTTTAAGAATTGGTATTACATCTTCAATAAGGGCTTTCTCCACAAAGTTTGAAAGACGGCGCTGCATAAATTGGTGGAAATCGTCAGCATAAAAACACCCAAACTTTGGCTAGTGTTGGGAAACCTAAAATAAACATTACTAACTTGCTGTTTACTTGAATAAAAATGCCACTAAACGTAATAAAGAACAGATAGGCGACTGATTCCCCCGAAAACAAGGTGATGAAAAATTAAGAGACATTCTTTGGAGGATTTTAGAGAAGAAAGGAGTACGAGTAGCATATATCCAAGCTATACAGGATATGTATGAAGGAGCAAAGACTGCCGTAAGAACTCATGAAGGACAAACCGAAAGCTTTCCCATAACTGTAGGATTACATCAAGGCTCATCCTTAAGTCCTTACCTCTTTGCGTTGGTAATGGATGAGTTAACAGGACATATTCAAGATGATATTCCTTGGTGTATGCTTTTCGCAGACGATATAGTGTTGATAGATGAAACTCAAGAAGGGGTAAATGCAAAGCTTAACCTTTGGAGAGAAGTGTTGGAATCTAAAGGTCTTCGCCTAAGCCGATCAAAGACAGAATATATGGAGTGCAAGTTCAGTGCAAATGGAGGCCAAAACGAGTTAGGGGTGAGGATCGGAGATCAAGAAATACCAAAGAGCGACCGTTTTCGTTACCTAGGATCTATCTTGCAAAAGAACGGAGAATTAGATGGAGATCTCAACCATAGAATACAAGCTGGATGGATGAAGTGGAAGAGTGCATCCGGCGTGTTTGTGTGACCGCCGTATGCCACTGAAGCTCAAGGGAAAATTTTATAGGACGGCAATAAGGCCGGCGATGCTGTATGGCACAGAATGTTGGGCGGTGAAGCATCAACACGTACACAAAATGGGTGTAGCGGAGATGAGGATGCTTCGTTGGATGTGTGGGCACACGAGAAAGGATAAGATTAGGAATGAGGATATCCGGGGTAAAGTAGGAGTAGCCGAAAATTGAAGGAAAGATGAGAGAAAAATCGGTTACGGTGGTTTGGACATGTGCAAAGAAGGCCTACTGACGCTCCGATTAGAAGATGCGACTATGGGACAGAGGTTCAGGGCCGAAGGGGTAGAGGAAGACCCAGGAAAACTTTGAGAGAGACCCTAAGAAAAGACTTAGAGTACTTGGATCTAACGGAGGACATGACACAGGACAGAACACAATGGCGTTCTAAGATTCATATAGCCGATCCCACTCAGTGACTTGGATTTTCCAAGTCTCCAACCGAGAAGTTGTCCTCGTTCAGGAAATTAAGGGAACACTACCTCAACCTACATGCTCCACTCACAAAGCTCCAACATACAAGCTTCAACAAAAGAAAATTCAAAGAACTTAGCGAAGAAGGCTTTGGTGATTTAACACAATACGTTGAAATGAAGGAAAGCTTATTTTATTGATATCTTGATAAATTACAAATATGTACATATACTTGAGTCAAAATAAACAAACAAGAGGGAGCCTTCACAAATGTTGCTTAGGAGAAGTCTCGGCAGTCGGTAGAGCCCCAGAAAGAGAAGGCACCGGAGGGGGATCATTCGGAGCCTCAGTACTGGACAGAACCCTAGAAGGAGGAGGCATCAGAGGTTGATCATTTGGAGCTTCATTACGCGGTACAGCCCCAGAAGACGAAGGCAATAAATGCCTTTGGAACAAACCCACAAATCTCTGATGATCAAGTAAAACCTGACCATCAGATTCCTTCATCTGGTCAAGCTTCCTCTTCATGTTTGTAGCATAGTCATGTGCGAGCCGGTGCAACTGTTTATTCTCATGCTTGAGCCCTCTAATCTCCTGTTTGAGACTCAATCACTTCAGCCGCCAATGATTCAACTTGGCGGGTTCGAGCAAATAGGCGTTGTGCCATATTAGACACAGAACCTGCACACTGAACACTAAGAGCCAGAGAATCCTTAACAGCCAACTCATCAGACCGTTTGGAAAGTAGTCTGTTATCTTTGGGAGTGAGAAGGTTCCTGGCCACTACCCGCAGCGGTCATATCATTCTTCATCACGGAATCCCCAACGGTAAGAGGACCAGTAGGGGAGACGAAGGATGGGCGCCATATGTTGTCTGGAGAAGGCGGGGCTGCCTCTTCAACAAGGTTCAAGTCAAAACGACGGTCGGAGGGGCCAGACATTTTCAAAGGTGTAGAAGAGAGAAAGAGGTCGGACAAATCAAGTTCTTAGAAGTGCAAGAATGGAGCTTCTACAGGTGGATATTCAAGTGTGCTTTGGAACTTAATGTTAGCCTCTATAAAAATCTGCACTCGACGAAGCTTCAGAAATCGAAGAGGCGTTTGCTTTCTCAAAAGCTGGGCTGCTCAGAGACCACGAGGGTCGATCTCAGAAATCGAAGAGGCGTTTGCTTTCTCAAAAGCTGGGCTGCTCAAAGACCACGAAGGCCGATCTCAGAAATCGAAGAGGTTTGCTTTCTCAAAAAGCTGGGCTGCTCAGAGACCACGAGGGCCGATCTCAGAAATCGAAGAGGTTTGCTTTCTCAAAAGCTGGGCTGCTCAGAGACCACGAGGGCCGATCTCAGAAATCGAAGAGGTTTGCTTTCTCAAAAGCTGGGCTGCTCAGAGACCACGAGGGTCGATCTCAGAAATCGAAGAGGCACCTACTTTTCCAGCCTTGTCAGCACCTGTCACACGCACACTCAGCTTTGCGGAAATTATGGGCATTCTGTCGAAGATTTCTGGCGAAGTAGAAAGCACATGAATCGTACTGTTCAATCACCCACTTCCCACACGCAACAGTAGCTCATGGGTACCACATATAACTTTGCCAAAGTTCTCTGACAAAGTTGAGACTACTTTTCCAGCCTTGTCAGCACCTGTCACACGCACACTCAGCTTTGCGGAAATTATGGGCATTCTGTCGAAGATTTATGGCGAAGTAGAAAGCACATGAATCGTACTGTTCAATCACCCACTTCCCACACGCAACAGTAGCTCATGGGTACCACATATAACTTTGCCAAAGTTCTCTGACAAAGTCGAGACACGTGAAGCTTGCAACTCTCACTACATCGCTCTGACCAAGAAGGGTAAAAGAATAGCAAAGAAACAACACTAACAAAGTTTAGACACATAAATTTTGACGGCCTAGCTACCATATTATTACCCACAATGGTAAAGGAACAGTACCACTGCTGGATAATTGGAAAGTCCCGGTGTGTCAACCTCTGTGCTTCATGGCAAGATAGACTAGCAAACATGCCCAACCTTTACTCACATTCGAGAAAACACTCCCAACAAGATTGCTTGCCCCAAAATCGAAGAGGCATCGCCCTCCGAATCTCGAGAGCCAGATTCCCAACATGATTACTTTCTCAAAAATCGAATAGAGGGTAAAGGAAACAGTACCACTGCTGGATAATTTGAAAGTCCCTGTGTGTCATCCTCTGTGCTTCGTGGCAAGGTAGACTAGCAAACATGCCCAACCTTTACTCACATTCGAGAAAAACACCCCCAACAAGATTGCTTGCTCCAAAATCGAAGAGGCACCGCCCTCCGAATCTCGAGAGCCAGACTCCTAACATGATTACTTTCTCAAAAATCGAAGAGAGGGTAAAGGAACAGTACCACTGCTGGATAATTGGAAAGTCCCTGTGTGTCAACCTCTGTGCTTCGTGGCAAGGTAGACTAGCAAACATGCCCAACCTTTACTCATATTCGAGAAAACACTCCCAACTCCCAACATGATTACTTTCTCAAAAATCGAAGACACCGCTCTCCGAATCTCGAGAGCCAGACCCCCAGCATGATTGCTTTCTCAAAAATCGAAGACACCGCTCTCCGAATCTCGAGAGCCAGACCCCCAGCATGATTGCTTTCTCAAAAATCGAAGAGGCATCGTTCTCCGAATCTCGAGAGCCAGATCCCCGACAGGATTGCTTGTTCGAAAACCGAAGAGGCACCACTTTCCCAACTTCAAGAGCCGGATCTCCTTGGATAAAGCTTGTCTGTAATCTTCACACGCAACATCAGCTTTCCAGATACCACAGACCACTTTTTCAAAGTGCTCTGACAGAGTTAAAACTTGTGAAGCTGGCAGCTCCCACTACCGTGCTATGACCAAGCAGGGTAAAGGAATAGCATTATTACTTGATGTTAGGGAGACTCCTATATATGGCGACCTCCATCCCCAACGGACAGGCAGACCTGCAAAAATGCTCAACCCTTCCTCTTATCTGAGAGGGCACTCCCAACGAAGCCTTTCAAAATATTCAGCTTTCTTTCCCCCCGATAATACCTCTGTAAACAAGCTATACTAGAGCAAGAATATCTCATATCACCAGGGTTAAAAGCAAGAGTATCCCATATCATGCTTTTTTCCCTGTCTTTTCCTTTGGCCTTGTTCTTACCTGCAAGACAAGGAGAAAGAGAGCAATCAGTCAGCACTTGGAATCAAGCTTCCAGCCAGGAACTGACTGCCTGGAACCCCTTACCCTGGCATTGCTCTCGAGTACTCATCTTCAACATCTTATGCTTCCAAGGAAGATACCGCATCTGCCTGAGGATAGGGCAAGTGAGAAGGATACAAGGAAGCATGTGGAGACAAGCGTAACAGCACACCGTGCCGATATATCCACTACTCTGTCAAAAGCAAAAGTATCCCATATCAGCAGGGTCGAACGTACTCTAGATTTGATGGACTTGTTTTGACCCTCAAATTCTTCAGTCGGCCTTATACTTTGGAGGAAACCAGAAAACCCTCCAGCCCAGTTCAAGAATAAGCCTGTGGAAAGTTACTTCTTCAAAAGCAAAAGTATCCCATATCATCTCTTCTCATTTTTCTTCTCTTTATCCTTCATGCTGCCTGCAAGACAGGGAGAATGTGAACAATCAGCCGGAGCTCTGATTGCTTACCTTGTCTGTTACCTCTTTCAGCAGATCCCCTAGCTCGGCGACTTGGGGGACTCCTACTACATGGTTTGTATCGCGCTTGACCAAGCCTGAAACTACAAGTAAGCTTCAAGTGACATTGATACATTACCTTGTGCATCTCCACCAGTTACAGATACCACCCCTGGATGGAGGAAGAGTACTTCCAGAGAAGATTCCACATCTACCTATGAGACAGATAAGGAAAGAGACAGATAAGGAAAGTCAAGCCGATACCACACTCCGGGACTTAGAAGTTTCGTGGTTACGAGATCATTCTCCCACAATATTTCCTAATGTCATTTGTACTAAATCATTCACTTGTACTCCCTAAAGGAGAGCTTGAACCTATGTACTTGTGTAAACCCTTCACAATTAATGAGAACTCCTCTATTCCGTGGACGTAGCCAATCTGGGTGAATCACGTACATCTTGTGTTTGCTTTCCTATCTCTATCCATTTATATACTTATCCACACTAATGACCAGAGCAATCTAGCGAAGATCACAAAAAGTGACCGTTTTCGCTACCTAGGATCTATCTTGCAAAGAGAACGGAGAATTAGATGGAGATCTCAACCATAGAATCCAAGCTGGATGGATGAAGTGTAAGAGTGTATCCGGCGTGTTGTGTGATCGTCGTAGGCCACTGAAGCTCAAGGGAAAATTTTATAGGACGGCAATAAGGCCAACGATGTTGTATGGCACAGAATGTTGGGCGGTGAAGCATCAACATGTACACAAAATGGGTGTAGCGGAGATGAGGATGCTTCGTGGGATGTATGGGCACACGAGAAAGGATAAGATTGGGAATGAGGATATCCAAGGTAAAGTAGGAATAGCCAAAATTGAAGGAAATATGAGAGAAAATCGGTTCCGGTGGTTTGGACATGTGCAAAGAAGGCCTACTGACGCTCCGGTTCGAAAATGTGACTACGGGACAGAAGTTCAGGGCCGAAGGGGTAGAGGAAGACCTAGGAAAACTTTGGAAGAGACCCTAAGAAAAGACTTGATTACTTGGATCTAACGGAGGACATGACACAAAACCGAGCGCAATGGCGTTCTAGGATTCATATAGCCGACCCCACTTAGTGGGAAAAGGCTTTGTTGTTGTTGTTGTTGTTGTAGTGCTATATGTAGATTATACTAAATGTGTTGAAATCTCAAACTTGAGAAGGCTTGCGAACACGTTCAAATCTAAGATTTTAAAAACAACTGAAAAAGAAAAAGCACAAACAAGCAAAGGACAAGGATCCTTTTGTAAATTATTTAGACATTATCATCCTACCAAAACTACAGAGGAAAACCAAATAAAGCTTACAAGAAAAATTGCAGTCATTCTTGTTGTAAAAGGTATAGCACCGTAAAAAGCAAGAACAACCCCTTTAATAAACAAAACAAGAATACAGTATTCCCAGACAAGTTGAAACTAAAGAAAGTGTGGAAAACCCGAAAATAATTAAGAAACTGTAGGCCGGTGAAGAAAACAAACAGTTGGTGTACCCATTTAGTAATTGTGAAGCTTCAGAGCCTTTGAGAACAATAAAAGATGTCGTGACTAAGAAATTATAGGCGACACAAGCTACTGCGCACCAGAGCACTGAATTGGACATTTGACAGAAAGAAAGTTGCTCAAGGGTTTCAATTTTTATCAGAAAATAATTTGCCAGAGAAGATAAAACTACGGAGAGGGCAACCTTAATACACATATGCTAGTATTTCATCATCACATTCCAGGTTTCATCAATTCTGCGGAACGAAAAATTGAATTTGCAGTGTTTTTAGATCGTAACTATCAAAATCTTTGCCGATTTGGGAGTTTCAATCATACATACCAAACTTGAATGCAGGTGCTATGAAGATTAAACTTAAAGCATTTTCTTTTAATATAAAGCAGTACTTATTACTGCATGAATTTAATCAGACAATTTTAACTAATCAATTCAACTTAAAAAGCTGTCACAACTTTGCCCTGCATTCATATTTATAAGAACACAAATAATTGAATGGAACAATCATTTGCAGAAGAGAAACACTAGAAATGGAAGCTTGAACAAACCTGAACAAGCTGAACAAGTTCCTTCATCTGGAAAGTGGAAGAAGCATACATCAATTCCACAACATAATTAATAGCAGGGCCGCACGCATCATGCGGACAACCATCATCAACGCACGTGGACACTTCTCGAGGGGATGGATTAAGCTTCCCAGTGTACAAGTAGTTCAAGAAAACCTTGAAGGCTTCATAGCCAACCCCGCCGTTTGGAACCAATTCAGACATGAGATACCTCGGTTTACCTTCCTTGTTCGAATCATCACTCCCCTTCCTAAAAAGCTCCTGAAAAAACTGACTACGGGAAGCCAATATACACCGATTGACACCCACGGTGTTACCCTCAACAACAATCTCAGCATCACTGTAGTCAAACTCAGGATCAAGTAACAGCCTCTCAAGATTATCGCTCAGTTTGCTTAGACTCAAGTAATGTTCAATACTCGGCGCGGGTGGGGAACTGGCTGAGGCAGATGCATGGTTACTACTAGACCCATTTGACAGATTGGAGGAGGCAAAGCTCAAGGATGATGACAGTTCATTGACATTATCCATGGCTTCCAAAATCTATGCAGTCCTGTCTAAGCTTAACAATGCTATAAATAAATAATTCACGAACCCCAAATCACCCTATTAAGAGAACCCGAAATCGGGCTAATTCTCCTCCACAAACTGCATAATCCTATGGAGAAATCATATCAAAATTTACCCAATTTCTCCAAACACAGAAAAATGCTCAAAACTAGCAAAAGAAAGAGAAATAATCTGAACCCAAATAACCAATTTCTCAAAAAGTCAAAACTTAATTTCAGGAATTACCCAGTTGCTGAAATATTGACCAAAATCCAAAAAACAAATCAAAAGGATTAATTTCTATTTCTACAGAAAGCTCCATATCCAGGCAGAGATATGGCTTGAATCTTCATAACCCATTAAATTCAAAGCTTCGAGCTTTCAATAGTGAACAAAAATATGAATCAAAAGTTCCAAACCTAGAAAAAATATTGACCAAAATTCCAAGAAAAAAGGATTAAGCTTACTTACAAAGACACCCTTTTGAAAAAGAAAACAAAAGCTTGAAAGACCTGAGAATTGACCAAGAAAAGCTTCAGGTTTCTAAGATGACGCCCTGAAATTTAACAAGATTTTGAAGGAATATAACACAAACCCGCTCTCTCTCCCTCCCTCTCCCTCTCTCTCTCTCTTCTCTGAAAGCGAAAAAGGAAGTGCTGTGAATCCAACTGGTCAGAGCAAACGGTTGACTGGACAAGTAATAATACAAACTTTAAACACAACTGGATGTTCTTAATGACAAAATTTAACTGGTCAGCATACTCAACACCATCAAAAAATTTAAAGAAAACTAATAAAAATTATTTGAAAATTTTGAATTTTAATAATAAAAATAAAATAAATGATAAAATGAATAGTATTAGAATTGATTTTTTAATGTAAAAATGTAATTTTTTATTAAAGTAAACAATACCGGCTGTTTTTCGTTAAAATTTTTAAAATTTTATATAATAATCAAGATTAATTTATGTTATCAGATAAAACTAAAATAAAATAGTGATTATTCAAGATATTAAGGATTTTCCCTCCTCTTTCCTTTGGGTTTATAGGGTGCCGGGAGGGGGGCAGCCCCGGGTGAGTTGACTACGCGTTCTCTTGACATGGGAACCTATCAGGAAGCATCAATCATTGCGGCGGCTGCAATTATTTCTGGTTGAAAAATAGCAACCATTCATATTACGGCTACTTTATTACGTTGTCAAGTTGGTTTCAGATGACGTTGGCTTTGTCTTTCTTGACAAGGGATTAGTGGCTTCTCAATTACAATCCATTCTTTTGAAGGTTGAGAAAGTTAATAGAGACATTTCAACTTTCTATGTCTCTATCGTATGATTCATCAGTACTTAAAATTGAATACAAAACATGTCTTGTGAAATACAAACTTGAAATTTATTTTTAACAATTAGATCACTTCTGTGATTTACAAGATTTTGGCATTCTTTTACTTGTCTCTATTACACTTCGGACTTTTCTTATTTTGATAGGATAGAATAAATCGATAATAATTTGACAAAAAAAAAATCAATATAAATTTAGCACAAGTAACAAGTAAGAAAGTTATTTTGTTTGATCTTAGCAGCTGCAGTATAGTAGGCACAAGTATGAACGTCTAAGCCCACAATAAACATATGATGATGTAAGTAATTGAGCATTTGAGGCAGCTACTATTTTAGAGTGAGGATCTTCGTAAGATTTTTTTTTGGGAATTTTAGGAATTCTTAAATCACATTCATTTATTGTACATTGTGTGATAAAAAATTATTGTAAATTTTTTTATATAAAATTGAATATAAACAATACATGACAAAAACTGACCGCACGATGTATGATAAACGAATATGATTGGAGGATATTCAGGATCTTTACAAAGGAATCCTACGAGAATCCACTCTAACTATTTTATTCTTATGTTTAGTTAACAACAACCTTAAAATATTGAATACTGACTTTTTTATTATTCATATGACAAATTAATATATCGTTGGTTCGAAATGATATTGAACTTCTTCTTTTTTCTTAATGATTCTGTTAAGGTGCTTACTTATGCACTCGAGTTAAAGAGTTTTATTTTTGTTCTCCTTTAACATTACTTGTAAAAAAAACGAGAAACTTTATATTAGGAAAGGTTGATAAAATTTTGAGGTACATCAAGTATAATATAATACAATTAGTTAAAAACTTAAATATATTTTTTTTCAACTAATTATATTATAAATATTTGGTGCATATGATCGTATTCATATCACACTGAAAAATTTCTCGAGTTTGAGGGTGTAGGATAAGGAGCGGGCCAGAGTGGATTTGCCTGTGCCTGGGGTGGCCTTTCATTGCAATTAACAATGGAATTCTACCTTCTTTATCTCCTTCTGCCTTTTGCCATCTCCAAGGGGTATGCAAATTTTTGCATGATTGGGGTTGTTTTTATTTTGGTATGGAGCATAATGGGGACAAAGTTTGGTCACTATGGTTATCCTCATTTTGTTGGCTTCTTTTGTTTTCCTCATTCTTATCGTTTTTATTCATTTTTTGGTAAGGTTGTCTGACTAGGTCAACTCTCATACTGAGTGATGTGACACACCCCGATCCAGAGGATCCAGGCGTGCTGGCCGTCACGTGAGCGTGACGTAACCATAAGTGCGACACGGAAGCGAAACAACAGCATACATAAGAAGGAATTCAACCAACTCTAGCAGAACAACCTACTAGAATAACAGGACGAGTTAAGATAAACACATAAATTCAGAGCATAGGTTTAAGTGCAGTCAAGTAGGACAAAAATAAAAGTACATCACCCTCAGGTGAGTCCTACATGTCAAGTGTCTGTCAGAATGCCGGAAAAAAAAAAGACCTCGAGAGCCACCAACTGCTAACTAGAACCTGGAGGGGCGCAAAACAAAATGAGTGGGTCAGTAAAACTAAAGATTTTCCAAAACATTTCGTTAAAAACATTTCTATCCACTCACCGTAAAACCTGTATACTTTCCCAGAAAAATAGTATATAAACACATATATATATCATCAAGAGCTCAAATCACAATCCATCATAATAACATCTCAGAAATGATATGCCATGCCCAAAATATAATCAGAATGCATCAATATCAATCAGGTGAAATAATAAATCAACCAGAGACCCTACAATGGTCCTGTACGGCTGATTCTAAAGCTCAACATCCCACTCAGCCGAAGTCACCACAGTGACCTATACAGCCCTACCGGAGTCACCAATTGTGACCTGTACGGCACTACACTGCACATCACTCGGAACTACGTATAGTAGTCTGTACGATGATAGGTGTATAAATACGCTATAGTGCTTCTCTCAACAATCATCAGTGCGCATAACTACGGTCACCCACTAGTCGGAATCACATCTAGTGATCTGTACGACTAGCATGTCGGAACCCTCACATGGTCTGTACGACATCCACCTACTTGGATCCAAGGCGAGCGTGCGGTGTGGTGAATAACAATATAAGCACTAACACCTAAGTGCAGGTTATGAGTTTTCAATGCAATTCATATAAAATAACTCATCTGAATGATAATAAAACTCACATGTGCGTCCACCGCGTCAATTCACATATATATGCATCAATTCTCAATTCAAATATCTCAACATTTGCATGCATGGCAATTTAAATCATAATTTTCATATAAACGCATTTTCTGGGAAAAACAGTTGTATATAGGTAATACGAAATTAAAACTGCCCACTCACTGATAAGTCGATGGGTCGTAACCCCTGTGACGTCCCTGGATGCGCTCGTCCTCGGGATAGGTGTCACCGGAAAAATCCCAAGAAAACCTGCCAAAGTTGAACCACGTGATCCCGACGTCCAAAACCTTCAAACGAAGCACTCCGAGCTTCCTTGGGACCTCACTAAGCTCACTACAAGCTTAGAATTCCCTTGGTTGCCTCGATCCACCGAGATTTGGGAGGTTTTGGGTGTGTCCGTACGTATGGGTGTGTGAGAGAGAGGGAGTCGAGATGGAGGAGAGAGAGAGGCTACGAGAATGAGAGGGAGAGAGAGAGGGTTTGTGATGTCCAAAAACAATCCCCACCATCCATTTCTTCCCTAATTCCCTAACCACACAAGCAATCCAACAATTTAATATTTTTATCCACTTAATGGTATTTCCAATAGTTTAGGAAAAATATGAAATATCTAAAACATATCACACACACACCTTAGTAACGCCAAGGGTACTTTCGTCATTTAACACTCCTGATAGAAAATCTCGGGACGGGCTGTGACAGATGCGTAGGATTAAATGTTGTTAAAATATAAGAGTTTCAATGTTTTTAAGCGGCACTTTATAGAAAATGCGGTCGGACTATCCCGCACAAGTTTTTCTCCTAAGATTGACATGCTAAGTGATAAGGTTAATGTTGCATTTTCAGTTTTGTAACGGATAAGCAAGGGTACCAATTGGCTCAAAAAGATTATTTGTGTAATTGTTTTAACTCTCTCTCTCTCTCTCTCTCTCTCTCTCTCTATCTTTCACCACGTGACATGTCGTTGCCTAAGGCCATCTCCAACCGAAGGCTGGCCAAAAGGCTCGTTTTAGCTCTATGGCCCTTCAAGAAATTAATATTTTAATGAACAATGCATGACCATATTTCTTAGGCAATCTCAAACCGAAGGTTGGCCAGATGGCTCGTTTCAGCCCTCTAGCTCTTCAAGAAATTAATATTTTAATGAATAGTGTATGGCCATATTTCTTACCATCTCCAACCGAGGGCTAAAGTCTATCACAAGAAATCATTTCCAACTGAGGATCAAATGGCTATAGTATGGAATGTGAAAAATTGAAATAAAATGATGTAAGATAGTATGAAATAGTGAAAAATATGTGAGAAATGATGTAGGAAAAAATTAGAAATTAAAAAAAATGTCCAAAAAAAAAAAAGTGGGCTGGGCATAAACAACAAAAAATCTGTTGGGACAAAAAAAAACCTAAACCCTAAACCCTAGGCT